ACCAACACCAACACCACCACAACAGCAACAGCAACAGCAACAGCAACAGCAACAGCAACATGAATCAATAGTGTTTTTGGTGTGACAATGCAATTATAAATGGTGACAAAATAATTTCCGCTGCGTGATTTTTATGACAGTTGTGCGGCGCATTCTGCTCGACTACATTCGGATCAGAGGCACAAATTAAATAAGTATTAAGTAGTTTATCGGGCAGCCACGGCAGCATTATCAACTCGCAACTCTCAACTGCCGACTCCTGCTCCAGCTCCTTTCAGCTATCCTTTGCCTTGGCTAATTTCAAATGCCAATTTAATGAACATAATTGGATAGCAATGCCATAAAAGAAAGCGAGACATGAGCAGGAGTAGCACGTAGCATGAATAGCCTCACATCACATGCCCACATATATATAATATGTATATATATATATAATTTGTGTTCATCCCGATTTCCGGCCTCTTTGGCTGTGTGGGTGCTGTGGGGCCTCAGCGCCGTCAAATGAAATCATATTTCCTTTAAAGGGTATCCCTGTCCTCGTTTGCTCCACATTTGTATGTGTGCCTGTGTGTATACCCGTACAGATATGCACACACACATACACCCAGCCGAGTGCCTATCAACGCTTCAGCCCGTTGCCCGTCTCGAGATCATCGCGAATTCATAAAAGCATGTCATTTTGTGCACGCAATCGCGTTGCGTTATAATTGGAAATTGGAAATGGCTAACAGAGAGAGAGAGAGTGTGTGAGAGAGAGAGAGAGAGAGAGAGTGAGAGAAAAAAAAAAATAAAAATATGTATATAAAATGAAATAGCTGCAGACGCGCACCTTTTGCGGAATTGACTGGACCTGGACTCGGAATTGGGTTTGAGTTTGGATTTGGGTTTGGGTCTGGGCTCGGATTTGCCTTTGGCTTTGCCAGTGCCACAGCCACTTGGATTCCGCAGACTTTGTAAAACATTTGCAATTGCAAAGTGTTAACGGGAGTGAACTCACTGAAACGAGAAACAATCTAATAAACTATCAAAGAAGTAGATGTTGAATATTTTCGGATGTTCCGAAATCGGAGCAGATTTTTGTACTTCAGCAGGGGAATTATCTCACTTACATAAAGTATCCTGTACAAAGACTCTGAGACTGCCAAGAAAATATTGAGAAATTTAACAATAACTGGGCGAAAATCTTCAACAACAACAAATTGTTGGTATACCAATACTTCTGACTGGGACTGTCTCTATCTATCAACTTATTATCGAATGAAATTTGTAAAAAGTATTATGCAATGTTATCGACTCATTATTTTATCCTTAATTTAATCTATTTTTAAGTAGACAGTAACAAATTTATATTTGCAATATTCTTTATATTATATTTTTATTGATCTTGATCTCTTTTAATCGACCGTACATTATCCTAGTTTATCTTTTAACTGCATAACAGTGCAGTGCAACTTGTGCTTATAGTACAAATTTCGCTGTTGCAGGAAAGTGTTAAGCGGAAAATTGGATTAATGTACATGTAATACATGAATGTAATACATGAAGAGAGAGTTCACTTAATGAAGCATCATTCAGGATTCACTACTGACCTCAGAAAATGCAGAGCGTAGGCCATGTAGAACGTGAGCCATCTAGAATGATCCCAACTAGTATATCTGACTATATTTCATTTTTATTATCATATAAAATAAACTCATATCAATTATATATTTAGTTTTGAATATATATATTTAGTTGTTTATATCAAACAAACTAGTCTGTTTATACTCTATAGAAACTAGGAATATCTCTATGTAGGGAAACACAAGAGTCCTCAACAGAAATTAATCTTAATAACATACATATTAAATATGAATGTATAGTAATTGTTATAGAGCTAAAATTGTACAAATCCATAAATATCTGTTTTTGTTTACATCTTTACAATTCAAATTTGTTTCCGAAATTCCATTTTGAATAGAGTTCCTGGTTTCCATATGCTTCATAAGGCAACTCCAACATAAAGTACCCTAACATTGCTAATATTGTTTCTAATTAAGGATTGTAGAAAGATAAAATCTAATCGAAAGTCGAGTAACGGCATGTATTTGTCCTTAACAGTATTAAAGTGAGATTGAACGGGTTCAGTGGGCTCAGGAGAAGAACATATTGATATGCAACAAAGTGAGCTTCTTCTTCTCTGAAGAGTTGCTCTATTGAGAGTTACGTGCTGGGAGTGATATAATTTGATTTCATATTCATATAGGACAATCAGACTTTGATTGCAGATTGTGCTAATGCACTTTCTAAGCAAAGTCAATGAATGTCGGAAGCAATCGATAATAGAGTATCGATTAGTTAGTATCGATTAGTTAGCGCACGACTAAAATTTACTTTAACCAAGTCTTATAAATAACTTTAATTTCTCCAATTAGAATCACGCGTCGTTGATCTCGTAGCCAATTAAGAATTATCAAACTTTAGTATTACATTTACTCTCTAATTGAAAGAACTTGATTTTTTCAGACCCCCGCTTACTTAACAACAAATGTGCTTAATTCTAGTTAGATTATATAACAATAAAAAAAATAAAAAAAGAATGGGCTGTGGCTCTTTATGTGCCGGAATAAGGTGACAGGTCCAATGCGGGCCTCGTCCGCTAGTTGCCACCAGGCCACAGTGCCACATCCTTTGTGCCAGTCAATTGTCAACGAGCCTGGGTCGGAGCATTGTCATAATCAAAGTGATTTCTCCGACCTCCCCGCCCGTGGAGAAATGTTGACAGCTGTTGGGGTTTCACCTTTCATTTTTTTCCCATTTTTCCATTTTCCGTTTTTATACATTTTGTGTGTGGGTGTGTTTGCGTCTCCCTCTGCCGTGTTCTCTATTCAATTTGAATGAAAACCTGCAACATTTGCACCTGACCACAATGGAGCCGTCCGGCAATGGCATTGTTGATGCAGCCGCTACAACTTCATTACAGTCCAACATCGTTGTTCGCTCCCCTCTGGCTCACACCTCATCTCTGGCACGTCCGCCCCCACTTAAAGCGTTAAATCCACCCCATAATCCCCAGCCCTCAATCGCGCCAGCCCTCGAGGGTCGCTCTCTAGCCGTTTGAGCGGGGGGTCAAGTCGCTGGCACTAAGTGAGTTGGCTTTTTATTGGCAACCGGCATATGGACAACCCCCGGCAGGGCCATTGGACGAGGAGGATTTTAATTTACCCTAATGCGTCTATAATTCAAGCCATTAGTGCAATCGCATTAGAAACACTCAACAACCCTTTGCAAGCGGCCGCTGACCAACCAACAGCAAGGACGACACTTGCTGACTCCACTTGGAATTACAAACACACTACATCAAGGACTTGAAGGATTTCTGTTCCACTTTTCAAAAAAGGTGACTTTATATCAGTGTTTCCATTCCCTCAGGAGAAACATCTTAAAATGTGATGTCGTTGGGCAGAGCAGATTTCTTAATTTCCAAGAAACTAAATGATAGTTAGGTCCATCCTATGTCCATTAATCTGATAGCGCAGCTTTGGTTCAGTAAGTCGACAACAATATAAACTCATTCAATTTAGATAGCATGATGACCAATAGTGAATATTTATAGTTTATGCTGAAAGGCTGTAGAAAATTAAACAGAGTCCAATCGTAAGACTATCGTTCCATTAATTTAGAAGCTATTCTACACCAAAGGTGAGCACATAGGCTGATATTTGATACCTTAATATTATTTAGAATACTATTTGCATTATATACAATCACAATACAAATAGACAAGCAAAGATATCTTCGATGTTAAGGCCATGAAGTATATTTGCAGACAATCTCTGATATTTCTTTATTTTTTTACTGTAAAATTTTAATATTCCTATAACAAAATATGTACTTCATACAACACAATACAGGGTGGTCCATATTCGACGGACCCATCTGGTAGCCCTATATCTTTTGACGGGGACGGGGACTATACGCCGTACAGGCTCAAGACGGCCATTTGAGAGATATCATATTCAAATATTATTATCAACATTAAACGTATTTAAAAAAAAAAAAAAATATGGGCCACTTTATGGGGCTGCCAGATGGATCAGTCGAGTATGTACAGCCCTGTATTTATTTCATTTACAAATATGGTTGACAGATCAATTACGATCTACAGTCAATAAATGGATGTACCTTTTTATATTTACAGACAAACATATGTATTTCTGATATTCCTATAGCAAAATTTATATTTCATGATACTAACTATCTATAACCAATACATTGATGTTACTTAAAAGATTTTGCTTTTACACTCTTAGAGAGTATTAGGCAGTCGCTCACCCCGCCTGCTTCATTGGCCTCTCTTCACACAATCGTCAATTCCAATATCTTCTTACACCTGTACGATCTCAGCATCGATCTGCCTAATTGATGAACTTTAGCAAGACATGTTTCAAGAGAACTGCTCTATGTTATTTTAATTATATTGACAGATCAAGCAATCGTTTAGCCGTAGTCAAATAGAGTAGCCGACTAGACTAGGGCTAGGCTGCCTGCCCTAGTGGGTATGCCCAGTTGCACTCTACTCTCGCGCCGGCAAAGTCAACTGTCGGCTGCGTGGCCGGGACACCTGTATCAAAATATTATTTCATATGCCGACGCTCGCACGTAATTAGGTCTCCTGTAGGGCGAAACGCGGGTGGGGGGGTTGCCTGCTGCTACTGGCTTGATTGGTCGGCCAATTTAACTTTCGAGCTGTGGCTGCCAGCCAGAGAAACCGTCAATAAGGCGACTAATTAAAAATCAATCGCTGGCCCCTTTTAATTGGGCCGCATTCGGCTCGCTATTAATGGCCACGCTGTGACTACGACCACGGCTACAGTTGAGGCTACGGTTGCGGCTACGGCTGTGCCCACCTCCGCCTGGCACGTGTCCTGCGCAAATATTGCCGCACGCTTTCGATAGGGCAGCGGGGGAGGGGGACAAGGCGACAGCAAAAGCAAACTAAGTAAAGCGATAGCAAATCGTTTGATTTTTTATGCGTTTATGTTTCATATTTATTTATGGCTTGTCCAACAAATTACGCGCTTCAGTTGCACAAAAAGGCGGCCAACACGTGCCGCCCCCACCCCGCTCCTGCGCTCAGCAGAGATTGACATTTTTAAAACTGAACGAGTCTGCAGTGAGCGGAAAATGGATTTCTAATATTTGCCTTTAAAAACATATTACATAAAGTAAGAAAAAAAATATTTATAAAACGATTTATATATAGACTCTATATGTATGGAGCGAACATCAAGCGAAAACTAACTGTAAAGATGAGCCTTAAATATGCTAACAGCGCTGACGCAACTTTTCCCGCAGGACGTCCGGGCTTAAAAGTTGAGAAAAATGAAACTTTTATGAGCTGGGCGTCTCAGCTAGCCCGGAATTTTTTATCTATGTACATAAGACGGCGCTGTCCCGCCGGCGCGCCTCAACTGCAGGCAATTTACTTTTCGATTAAACGCTTGAACAGCGCTCCCGAACAAAATGGCGCGCATAAATGGGGGCCGTCCGGTCGACACTCGAGCAGCCAATGCAGCTCCAGTTCCATCCTTCATCTTCCGTCATCCGTCTTCCGCCTAGTCCTTGGCCTACGCCTGCTTGCGCCGCTTGGGCTCTCCGATGGCGGGCAAGCCGCTGTCGAACTCGGATATGGTGAGGGCGCGCGACTTGTTGAGGCTCTTCATGAAGCTGCTTCTGCCATTGCCGGCCAGCTTCCTGCGGTCCGCTGCGCCATGCTGCTGCTGCTGCTGCGTCTGTCTCACCTCCCCGCTGACCGTCGTCGTGTAGAGGCGCCGCTTCTCCCGCTTCGCCTGCTGCACCTTCTCGGGATCGCTGCAAATGATGAAGGGATAAATGATGTTCAATACGCAAAGTCACGAGTCAAATGATGCAATTGAATGGGATAAATACCGTTCGGTGTAGGTCAGTCGATTGGTGGGCGGGGCCGCCTTGGGGGCGGCATGCTGGCCGGCGAACTTGCTGGGCGCCTCCTTGAGGGCGAAGCTCTTGGCAAAGTGGCCCATGTGTGCGACGCGCACGTTGAAGATGGGCTTCAGCTCCTTGGGAAATGTCGAATAGAACTTCATCCAGGAGACGAAGGCTGCAACGAAACATTGTGGCTCAGTTCGCGTTGTTCGAGGCTGGAGTTGGAGGAGCATGTTAATGCTTTCAGAATTAATTGATGTGTTGGCTTAAGTGSCTGCCTGCCTGTGTGCGTGTGCGTTTGTGTGTATGTGTATGTGTGTGTGGCATTCATTACAAAATAAATTTGTTAAAATGACAAATGAGCAATGTCAGCAAAGGATTTCCCGCCGCCAAATCCCGCCGCACAGCACAGTCGACGTCGCCGCCCTTCTGTGCGGTTGGCTCTGTTGTGGGCATGTCCTTGCTAATTACGCAGCACTTATGCCAGGCAATGCCAAATTATACAACAATGATATCAAATTACCACAACGTGCACAGCTCGCAGCAGCCGCAATTGTCCTCGAATGTGATAAGCATCGCACACACACACACACACACACAACGAGAGAGCTATGTAAATGCGATGTGAAATTGTAAAATGAAAAATGCGTTGCAAGTGAACAAAAACAAAAAGCACGAACTGAACTAAAAAAGGAGCCAGCTGTTGTTGTCTGCGCCTGGTTGACATCTCAGAGCAATAAAAGCAGCAGCAGCAGCGGGAAGGGTCACCTTCACTGACAGATCTAATCGCATCGCATTCGAATACCTAAACCAAACGACTCAATTACCCAGCCACAGATCCAATTTACAGAATTTCCAGCTCGAGCATGGAATAAACAAGTTCCCATACCTGGACACTGCGATCAGTTCATATCTAGCAAGGCGTGAACAGCCTGTAAAATTTGAACTTACTTGGGAAGTAGTTCTCAAATAGATTTCTATATACCTAAAATAGGGTTTATCCTGCTTTGAGTACAAGTATTTCTATTATACTCAATTATACATAAAACATTCTGCATTGAATTGAGATATTTGAGTTACTCTTAGAACTAGTTCAAAAATACATTTCGTAAAAATAAGATTGACTATGTCTGCCTCTTTCTCTTTATCTATATCTATGTATTCATATATTTATGATATTTGTATATTGTTATGTATCGTATATTGTAATAGGTGAATAAGTATTATATTATGTGTACATATATTATATATAAAACTCTAAACTTCAGAGTTCGAATTAAAATATTCGAGTTCCATTCAGAACTAGTTCATAAATATAAAGCTGAACTACCTGCGAACCAGATCAAAAAACATACACTAGGACTCTATTATAGTTGAAACTGTATTATGATTGGTATCATAAATCTGATAATGCATCCATCATCCATCCCAGCTCATACCATTCTAGTTTGCAACATTTACTCACTATTATTGACAGAATAGGTGGAGAACCAAAACTATCATATGTTATTGAGAATTGTTGACAATTACATGCAAAACGTCTTCAAAGTGTCAACTAAAACAAAATATTTAGCTATAATTGCTAACTATTTATAAGTGAATCTCACATTGAATAAGCAAAATATGATCAAAATATTAATGTTTAGCTTCTGTCGAGCTTGAATTTAGTTTATATTCAAATATTGAAGAAAGATACATTGAAAAGATACTGAGATTTCCAACTGAAGCGCCTTGAACGCCAGTATGTTTACATAATACAACATTTTGAACCACTAACGAACCGGTTCACATCCACTTACTTAAGCAATCAAAAGGACTACTCATCAAATTGGGATCGTTAGCCGCACAATTCAACAAAGCAGCCCAACAAGAGAGACACAGAGAGATAGAGAGAGAGAGAGAGAGAGAAAGAAAGAGAAAGAGAGAGTAGGAGGGAGAGAGAGCTAACATGAAGAGCCTCAATAGAGACAAAGACGCTGCTCTGCCCTGGCAATTAACTCGGAGCAGCAGCCGTTCCAGCCACCCGCTCTCCCGTTCAGCCTTCCGTTCCGTTTCGTTCCGTTCCGTTCGTTTGTTTGGGAACTGGTTGGCTTCTTTGTACGCTAGTCCCCAGGCTGTTCGGGAGTCGGTCTCAAAGTCAAGCCCTTGTCTTTGGGGCTGCTTAATTGCCGAATACGCGCCGGCAGTCAAGTGGCAGACATTAGGCACACAAAAGTATGACGAGCCCGGATGTTTGCCGACGTCTGCAAGCCGGAAGTTGCGAATAAAATAAATGTCATTCGAGCAGTGTCAATGGCAGGGTGCAAATAGAACTACATACCCCAGCTCCCACTCCCACCCTTTTTGTCATTCCCCCTTCCCCAGCCCTTCGAACAAACCGCACAAAATGGCTTTTTATGAAGCTTCCTCCCCAGCTTTAAATCCATTCTTCCCTTGCGCCTCGGCAAGCCCGATTCCCATTGTTTAGCCCGGGACTGCGTGGGGGCTGGGGTTGCTGTTGGGGGTGTTGCTCGGCTAATGCGACCGCCGTTGGCTCAGCGTCAAATGCGAACGGATATTTTTTTTTGAAGCGCGCGTGCTTATGCGGTTTCTCTGCTTCTTCTTCCTCTACTTGTGTAGGCGTGGCAAATTGTTGTGATTGTTTGTTTCTTCCCTCCCCCAAGTGAGTCTTTCGGGTTTTTGGCTTAGGCTCAGTTTTCGGCTTTTCGGTTTTTGCGGCCTGCGGTTTTCCACTTACTGTCCACTCCGGCCACTAAGTAGTTAATCATGTGGTACAGCATGAGCAGGGCTGGCTAGGGTGAGAGGGCAACTGCCAGTCCAGATAGCCATACGACACTGATTGCTAAGATTTTACGCTGATTTTCCCAGTATAAGTAAATGTTTCTATTGTGAATAATTGTGTTCTTATGGAACTCATCAGACAAATCGAGTTGATAGCGATTTTGACAAGATATCAGATGTAAGATATATATATAAACTAAATATGATCTTATCCAGTTGACTTCAATATACGAGCAGTTACTAAAACGGAATTAAATATTGAGATGCGATAAACCAAGAGAACTAAACCCATAACAATTTGACATCCTAGTTGGGGATTTTTGCGGTTGTCATTAAATGTAATCGTTAAAGTATTTTAAATTTGTTTGTCTAGATATATTTATAAAACGTTTAGCAAAAAAAAAAAAAAAAAATCAAATTAAATGAAATATACCCCATGAATCGACTGCATAATACTCGTTCACGATCCAAAATTCCTTAAACCATTTCAAATACATTTCAAGAACGAGTCTGCAGTAGTCTACTATTTAGGAACTATACTTTTAAAGCGTTTGAAGATGTAGCTCTTTTCAATTTGCTACACCCCTTAGTGGTTTGCTAAGACATTTAAGTAGATTATGATTGGCTAAGACTGGGCATATTAGTTCGCTCTCCACTTGTGCACCCTTCAGATGCTCTTCACTTAAGGCAATAATATCTGGAGCCCGAAACTTAAATTGCTGAATTAAAACTATTTACTAGGATAAGACTTATAAATTCATACAGGGCAACAGCAATTAAGATCGGTTTTGATACCCCAGTTAAAAAACTGTAGAAGATTCTGTATGCGCTTCAAATGATAATAAAAATTGTAAAAATACTTTTGCAATTGTGAGTAGATTTTCGACATTTTAAGAAAATCTGAGAAGAGGGTGCCAACGAGATGTTCCTAGCTTTACATACATACATATATATACGATATTATTATTCAAATACTCTATAGCGAATGAACTAAAGAAAAACACAGTTAGCTGACCAAAATATTTCTAAAAGTCAAATACATAAAAATATTTTTGAAAATTATTGCATATATGAGAAAAGCAATGATTTCGTCTCCACAAATTTTGCTTTGATTTCAGATTTTAATTGATAAATGACTCCGTTTTAACTTTTATGTTAAAAGAAAATTGATTGATTTTTCCTAGATGGGAAAATCAAAAGGTTTAGTTTTTTTTTTTTTTTTTGTGAAAGAAAGATTTCAAAAGATGCAGATAAACTTTTATAAGAGTCTCATGAATCATGATAGATATGATTTAACTATGATTATCTATGCATAGTTTTTATATATATGTGGTCTTTGATCACTATGTAAACATAATTTTGACAGAAACAAAAAGATTATAATGCATAAGTTCTTTAGTTAGACAAACTATAATATTCCTCGTCTTTTCAAAAAATAATGGGTTAAGACTATAGCAGATTAAATTAAAGACATTTCATTGCATTGAACAAGAAAAGAATTCTAATTGAGATATAATTAGGTTCTGAGCTCTGTAAGCTATTACATTTTTGTGCTTTACATATATTTCAAAATTAACATTCGCCCCACCTGCTTGAAGGGACTTGAGCAAGAAGTGAGTTTCTTTGCTGCGAATAGTTTTAATTACTCGCGCATGCAGCTCGAGCAAGGTCTGTGCAGGAAAGTCCTGTCGCCGCACATAGATATAGATGCATATGTATATATATCGAGTGTGTATATGTATAGACCCTGACTCTCTATCTCTGTCTATGCCTTTGTCTTCGTCTCTGCCACTGACTCTGACTCTGACTTGCATGCTGTGTTGCGCTCTTTGCTCTGTTGTGCTTCTAAATGCTTTTATCTGCTGCTTTGTACAGTTTTGTTCAAGCGTAATACTTTTTAATGGCTTTTTGATTGGACGCAGCTCAGCAACTGCAGCTCTCGTGCCCTCTCTCGCTATCTCCGTCTCTCTCGCTCGCACACTCTTGCCGCATCACTGTGGCAGTCTAGCCAGCATTCGTGCTCCTTTGGGCGAGCTCCTCTCAAGTTTTGCCAAGCGGCTTCCTGCCTTGACGCTTGACTCGACGCTTAAGTGCAATTTGAGTTGCTATTTTGGCTGGCAGTTTCTCTTCCTCTGCTTGCTGTTGTCCCTTTCCAATCAACAACAACATCAGCATCATCGTCATCAACTACTTCAGCATCTTTTACTTTGGCTTATTGTTTTGCATTCGCATATCTCGCCCAATTTCCGTTTCTTGTTGCTCTTCAGTTATTATACCCTGAACCCATTGAAAATGGGAAATCAGGGTATAATGGTTTTGTGAAAAAGTATGTAACGGGCAGAAGGAGGCGTGGCAGACCCCACAAAGTATATATATTCTTGATCAGCGTGACGAGCTGAGTCGATATAGCCCTGTCCGTCTGTCCGTCCGTCCGTCCGTCCGTCCGTCCGTCCGTCCGTCCGTCCGTCCGTCCGTATGAGTGCGTCGATCTCAGAAGTTATAAGAGCTAGAGAGCTGAAATTTGGCATGCATACTCGTGTGTACCATACGCAGTACGAGTTTGCTTTATTTTTTCGATAAATCGTCCGATAACTTTTTTATCGAGAATAATCGAAAAATTGATTTTGTTTTTTTAGCCTAATTTGAACATTTTTAGACCTGGAGTCTTCAAATTTGTGTTGTATATAAAGTTAATCGATACAAAGATTTTGTAATTTACAGATTTTGGATACCACGCCCCCNGCATGTGTATGTATGTGTGCATAAAAGAAGTGCAGAATGATTAGAATATCAACTTGGAGGGTTCAGGGTATCTCCTAGTCGAGCAGTCTCGACTGGAGCTTTCTTACTTGTTTTTGTTTTGAACTCGTGATTCATTTCTGCATCCAAATTGTGCGAGTGGGTCTCATGAAGTGGGAGTGGCAGGCGAGTTCTTCTGATTTTTATGTTTCAATCAAAATCTGACCCCCCACCCACTGGCATAATGTCAACCCCTATACAGCTATCCCGTCCGATTTCCCTTTTTTTTTTATTATTTGGGGGCGCGTCGCGGCAGCCTTAGTAACATCTAATTAACTTTTTCCTTTACCGCGCTGCAATTACAATTTCAACAGGACATTAACAGGACAACGAGAAAACAAGATATCGAACAGGGCCAACGCCGAATGCGTCAATACCCTGCCCAGGGGCTAGAGCAGGGACTGGTAGCCCAGCGGCGATGCCCTGGATAGGCCAGGGTATGCGAGGCTAAAAAGGACAACGGATAACGGTGCGACGACAGGAACTGGTCACTGTCACTGCACATACACACACACACACACACACACACACACATACAAGCACACGGTGTGAGTGTAGAGGCGGCTGGGCGGGGCGCGGCTGGGCTGGCTTCGACACGCAATCGAAATTAACTTCAAATATGAAATAATTTTTAGCGTTTTTTACGCGCGTTGCCAGCGTACAAGTGGGCGGCTAGCCGCAGGGGCGTGGCGCGAACGTCCAACTTATAATTGGAAAACGCCAGCGGATAGCTGTGAGTGGAATGTATATCCCTCTCTCACTCTCTCTTTCTCTCTCTATCTCTGTGTTTGTTTTCCCTTCATTTTTTTTTTTCTTTTCCTTTTTGTTTTTCGAGCCCTCCGAAGTGCGGCGAAATTTGTGTTGGGAAAAAAGAAATCATAATTACAAAGTTAATATCCTTTGGTGAAAGGATTAAATTGCTAGTTGCGTTTAAGTGGGCAACGAGGAGGGGGCGGAGGTGAGCCCAAGAATGGGGTATGTGCTAGCCATGGCAACTGCAGGAACGGTCGAACTCACCCTTGCAGGACTTGTCGTGCAGCTCGCGATCCTCCTCGAGCAGCGACTGGAACTTGTGCTGCAAATTGGACGCCGCCTCCTGGACGGTGCGCGCCTCCGGGTCGCGCGGCAACAGTGCCTGCAAATAGCTGTACATGTCGCCCTGCTGGATGCGGATGCGCTTGTTCTCCAGGTGCCGCACGTACTGCGCCTCGCTGGGCGCCAGGAATAGGACGGCGCGTCCCCGACGTCCTGCACGCGCCGTGCGGCCCACGCGATGCACAAAGTCCGCCGTGGTCTGCGGCGGCGTGTACTGCACCACCAGCTTGATGTCGGGCACATCGATGCCGCGGCCAACGACGTCGGTGGCCAGCAGGACGCAGCTGGCGCAGTCGCGGAAGCCACGGAAGACGCCCTGGCGCTCCGTTTGCGTCATGGAGCCATTGAGTCTGGAAAGGAAAAGGACTGAAGTCATATGCAGATTCGTTGGAAAGCACCGACTGGCATTACTTGAAGAAGCGGAGCCCCTGGAGCAAAGGCGTTTCGTCATCCTCGTCCTCGTCCGACTCCTCTTTGTCCTGCTGCTCGTCGTCCTCGTCGAGGACGCGACGTGTGAGCGCCTCGTTGAGCACGTCGTGGTGGAAGTTCACCATTTCCGTGGTGCTCATAAAGACGATGGCCTTGAACTGCTTCGGACTGGCGGCGAGCTCCTTGGCCAGCAGCGCCGAGATGGTAACCAGGCGCAGCTTGGGCGGCACCACCACATAGCTGAGCTGCAGGTTCTCGGGTATGCTGAGCACGCCCGTCACATCCTCCATGTACTCGCCGAGGCCGTCCTCCTGCTGCGCCTCAATGGTGTCCTTGTCGTAGCCATTGGCGCCCTTGAGCGCAGCATCGGCTGCCTCGTCGCTGTTGTCGATGTAGAGCGGATCCTTGAGCGTCAGGCCGGCCAGCTGCTGCACCTGGGCGGTCAGCGTGGCGCTGAGCAGCATACGCTGCAGAGCCACCGGCGGCTCCTGTGGCTCCTCGGCGCGATGCTTGTCGATGGCCTCCACGAGCTGCTTCACATCGCGCTCGTAGCCCAGTTCGAGCAGGCGGTCGGCCTCGTCCAGCACGAGGAACTGCAGCTTGGACAGCTTGAAGGAGGCCGTGTGCAGCAGATGGTCCACCAGCCGACCCGGGGTGCCCAGCAGCACATTGATGCCCTTGCGCAGCCGCGCCTTCTCGCTCTTGCGACTCTCGCCGCCCAGCAGGGCGCCGGGCACGATCCAGGTGAATGGCTTAACCAGCTTCTGGAAGAGCTCGTACGTCTGCAGCGCCAGCTCGCGCGTGGGCACAATGACCAGCGCTACGACGCCGTCGGTGCGCTTTATACGAGGCAGCTGCGACTGCAGTCGCTCCACCAGGGGCAGCGCATAGGCCAGCGTCTTGCCCGAGCCAGTCTGCGAGCGCACCAGCACATCCTTGCCGGCCAGCACATGGGGAATGGTCTTCTGCTGCACTGTCGTCAGCTGGCTGATGCTGAGCAGGTCCGACAGGTTCTTCACTGCGTGCGGGTGCAGGCCCAAGCTCTCCACCTTGGTGCCACTGAAAATAGTCTCCCGGACGGGCTTGACGGCGCGCTGGCCCAGCTGCTTGAGTGCTGCCACATCGCTCTGGTCGAAGAGGCCGATCTTCTTGGTGCGGAACTTGTTGCTCGTCTGTGTAGGTGGCGCCGCTGGCTTCTCTGCTGCGGCTACCTCCGCTTCGGACTGCTCCTCTGCGGCGCGCTTCAGCCTGCGCTCCTCGTCCAGCTGCGCCTTGAACAGGTCGCCAGCTCGTGGCTGCTTGTTGGGATTCTCCTTACGCTGTTTGCCCTTCAGAGCCGTCTTCAGCAGCTGCTTGTCTATGGCAGCGCCTTGTCTGGCATTGAAGATCGGCTCCCTGGACGCTGGACGCGACTCCTTAGGGGCCTTCTTTGTCTCTTTCTCCTTGGCGCTGTTAGTGACTGGAGCTGTGTGCACATTTAACATTATATCAACTTGTTCATTCGTCTCTGTCAGCGGTTTCTTGGCGGCATCCTCCTTGGGCTTTTCAGCGCTTAAAACTAAGCCGTTGGCCTTGGCTGTGGGTGTGATGGTGCCGGTCGGCTGCTTTTTGGCAACTGGAGCACGACGCCGCACCACGAGCGCCTTGACTTTGGGCTTGTCCACATTGAATTGAAAGTCGAATCCAGACGAGGCGCCAGCACGTTTTTGCTGCTTCTGTGGCTTTGACGGTGGCAGCGCCTGGCAAATAGTAAATTGAAAGTGAAATGGCCCTGATTTGTAATATAGCAGCATCACTCACCTGTTTTGCTTTTGGCACTGGTCTGTTGCATACGTTCAATGTTATATTATCATCCATTTTTACGCATTTGTTTGTTAAACACAGTTTGTTGAACGAAAAACGTGCGCGCTCTGCCTGACAGCTGATTTCCCAGCAGACAAGCAGTTCACGCAAGCAGTCGATTAACAGAGCTGCAAAACAAGTGTTGGTAAGTGGCAGCGCCGACAAGTGCGCAGAGCTGCCAGTGCTGCAAAGATTGTAAACTGCGCGCGCAATTCAAAATTCCAAATAAAACACTGCGAATTCCTTTGTTTTTTAATATATATATATTATATCTTGGCAAATTTAATAACAATTTGACTATAGTAAGTAATACAATTTTCTTTCTTATTATTTTTACAACTTCTTTGACTACAAAAAAAATTGAAATAAACACATGTAAGGAGCTGTCTATGACAGCCGTCTGTGCCATGCATATATCTTTGCGTGTGTGTGTGTGTGTGTATGTGCTTGTGGGTGTTTGCTTTGAATGGTGGGTTATGTTTTCCTTTGGTTTAGCCCCAACTGCGAGCGCCGCAAATGTCAACAACAGTCCAGTTCATGATGGTAACAGCTGGCTCCGGCTCCCGCTCCCTCTCATGTTCTTGTCCGTGTTCCTGTTCCTGTTCCTGTTCCTGTTGCGGCTTCGGGTCTGCTTCGGGGTCGGGGTCAGGATCGGACTTGGGGTTGGGCTCGTGCTGTGCTTCTGCTTGGGACGTCGCTGTCATGGCTGCTGTAATTGACAAGCGGCGCTGCCTAGCTACGTCCACATCCACGTCCATCTGGAGAATGCATTTGTGGCTAGCTGCATACATTAACTATGCCGTCACGTAATATTCGCGCTGACGTTTCTGGCACTTCTCCCTCGCGATGTAGCACAGGGCGATTGTAATGAGTAGGGCGATGGTCACGCCCATGCCAATGCTGACCCACATTATTTCCTCGTTAATTCCCACATACGAGCGCCCTATCGTTGACCGGAGAGGAAAACAAAGAGAACGGGAAAGAAAAAGAGAGAAAGCGAGAGAGAGAGAGAGAGAGAGGGAGGAGTTTATTGATAAGCATTTCGTAATTCCATTAAATGCTGCTGCAGGAAATCGGGATTAATCAAAATTCATTCAGCATGCTCAGTGTGCATTTCAATTGAATGCATTTTAAATGCCATTTATTACCTATTTCAATTCGGACCGGGCTGTCCGCCGTATACGTACCGTTATAATAGTGATTGGAGTAACCGGCTTTGCCAGCCACGCGTCCCGCTGGCATTTTGCTCCGTTGATGCGTCTGCTGGTTGCCAAAATAAAAACAAAACGAATCGAAAAAAAAACGCAATAAATTGTGAGCGGGTGAATCCCGCTTCGCTTTTATTTTCCACTTGGCAGCTGTGCCAGCAAACTTTTCGGTCACTTCTCTAATTACAATTTATTTCCAACTGCAGCGCGGCCTTGGCGAGAGGCTGGCAAATTGTTTTCTATTTGCTTGGCGCTGCAAAGAGCAGAGAAATATTACATAATAAAACATGTGCTTATACACAGACGCATATAATATTAATAAATAAACAGTTTCCATTTCAATTTCGAATTCAAATTCAAACGCACAGCCGGCAGCACTGCCAACTGCCGCGCGCTTACCAACACTTGCCGAACAGCTGTTTGCGTGTGTCACCAAAATTGTTTTGATGGCTACTTCTTTTTTTTTCTTCATTCCTTCCCTTGTCTTTTGCTGTGTCGCTGAGTTTTCCCCATCATTTCGGATCAGCCTGTCGCGCAAATGGCAGAACGAAACGTCGACTTGCCGCTGCCCGAGGAGCCGTGCCTCGCGGCCGTCGAAGAGGAAGCAGCAGCAGCAGCCGCCACCGCAGATGCGCCGGCTGGCCAACAGCTGAGTTCATGTACCGCTACGAAAATGTGCCCCTGGGGCTGCCGTAAGTACTTTGGCACGCGCTTTGAATGCACTGAATTTGCCGCAAAGTCTGACAGTTGGACAGACAAACTGCACGCTCTCTGCCGCATCTGTGTAGCTCTGGCCAATGGCCATGCGGATCAGCTTCACTGCAGTGCTGATCACAGTGTTTACTCAGTATGACGAATGATTCGTGGCAAGTTCGGGAAATTCGACAAAGATAACAGAGGGAATTTACCTAATAGACTGAGTGTGTGCTTAAACACCGTTATCTATTGAGTTGTTGTCAATGGGAAGGCTAGTACAGTATAGCCTGCCTAGTGCGGAAAGAAAGCTTTTTCCTTATAGTGCGAATCAGGATCTCTTTAAAGAAAACTTCGCTCGAAGCAAATTTCATTTAATTTAATATAAACTTTAGCGTAGAGAAATTAACTTTATAAGGTTAGGCACCCTGATAAAAAGTATCCGACTAAAATATACTCCTTTTAGAGTTTATTTTCATACAGAAATGTAGGAACACGCCTAAAACTAAAGCACAAAATAATGGGATCCAAGATTATATTTATTAACATTTAAAGTATTCTACATAACATACATTACAGCCATTTGAACATTCTGAACAAGGAAGTGTATTTATCTATATACGGTTATATAAAGTGTGGGGTCTACCAAGTGCACTCAATGATGATAAGAGTAAAGATAAAATATACTTCAGATTTCTCTGAAATTGTCCAGCTATGCTACAGATATTCGATGCGCTATAACTTAAAGCATGTTGTGATTGGCGAACGTTTTTCTTATTGAAGCTGCACTGTACATACATTTGTTTACACGATCCATAAAGAGAGACAGAGAAAGAGAGAGTGGCACAACTGTTGCCGGATAATCAGCTAATGTTTGCTTATCAAATTGCATTCACCAGGGAATTAGGAGTGATTGACTTTCTGTTAAAGTTCTATAGCGATAGGTACTTGAAAATTGGTGCATATATCCCTTAGTATCGCCAGTTTATACAGTGTTGTAGAGCGTGGGGATTTCGGAAATATTAAACACAAATTCTGTTATCGAGCTTTATTAACATTATTTAAAACATAAATTCTGTTATCGAAGACTCTATTAAAACTATAGATTGGCGAATAGGAGTAATCGGAGTCTATAAAATGAGTTATTCTATCTAATTAATTGATCATATTTATGTAACCCACATGTTAAAGTATATACGAATATGTGATGTGCTCCAAATTCGTTTTCCTTACGCTTTCCTGAATGAGTATAAGTATATAATTAAAATTGTGTCCAATTCGCTCCATACAGTCATACCTTATAGTCCATATACTTAAAATTATGATTAATACCGCTGTCAAGCCGCTTTGATAAGTTATCTGACCCCATTGAAGACCTTTTTATACACTAATGGTTTTAATAAAAGTTGTAGCAGGCAGAAGGAGGCGTGGCAGACCCTACAAAGTATATATATTCTTGGTCAGCTGAGTTGATTTAGCCCTATCTGTCTGTCTGTCCCTTAGTCCGTCCGTCCGTCCGTATGTATGAACGCGTCGATTTCAGAAGACATAAGAGTTAGAGACTTGAATTATCATTCATAAACTGTGATAATATGATACGTAGTCAATTTTAATTGAAGCTCTATCACTTATACATATATGTGTATAATTAGTCATTCATATATTTTCAAATCGTATATCCAGTACTACTCTTTCTATAAGAAGCCTCTTTTTTAAAGGTAATTTCGTAGCTCTCTTCAATATAATCTATTTTATATTCTTTTAGATAAAGTACCTTTTTATTTGGCTTATGTTTCGTGTAGTATATCACGGCTAACCTTATAACCAGAAGTGTATGCGTATAGATCTATGAATATATGTATATCAGAAACTAGCATTCGATGGGGCTTGCCTGCCTCTAGGGCTGGTCTAATCAACGCGCATTCAAGCTCTGAATAGCGCACACAAATAGGGGAGATATGAATATTCGCCTGGCCTCGCTGAACTCTCATTGATATTCGGGGCGGTGTGCGAGTGTAAAATCCATATCCTTGCAGCAATGATAGATTAAAGTTCCGCTCAAACGCCTCGTTGGCTTCCGTAAGCGCACAAATTGCACAAAACTGCTCCAGCCACCGGCCCCTGGGCCCAGCCCGCAACCCTCTAGCCCCTAGCCCTCGCCACCTCTGCCCCATTGACGTTCTGACGGCGCAAACTTTTACCACAACAGTCGACGTTGCAGGACATTGCGGATGTTGCTGACGCTGATGCTGATGCTACCATTGCATTTGCAGGCACTGTTGCTGCACATTAGGAACTGCAATTGAAATGCTGCAATGGGTGTCGGGTTGTCTGGATGCTCGGGCTGACCGCATGAATTATTCACATAATCAAGATTGAATTTTACTTTGCAAATTCTACCTTTAAGATTGCCTAAAATTGAGTCGCATTAAAGTTGCGTCGAGCCCGAGGCCAAGCGGTTCAAGTGGTCGTACGAGCAAATCTCAAGGCGAGATCTCGATCAAGCAAGAATGAGAGTCCTTCAGCTACAGCTTTATAGCTATATAGAACGAGCTAGCAATAGAGACTCGTAAAGTTTAGATATATAGATAATCTAAGTTTATTTAGATTTCTTTCTCTCTCTCGGACAATCTATGTATGTGTGGATTTCTCTCTCGCGCTCTCTTAACTTCTCTCTCCCTCTCATCCTTCTCTATCGCTCACCCGGATAATTTAGGTAAATTTAGATCGCTGCCTTGGATAATTTAAGATTCCTAAAACTCTCTCCGATAATTTCTGTATACATAGATTTCTCTCCCTTTTCCTCTCTGGGATAATCTGTGTATTTTCTCTCTTGCTCTCTCTCGGATAATCTATGTATATATAAATTTCTCTTTCTCCAGATCTCGGATGATGCAAGTATTCGTAGATATTTGTCTCTTTCTCCCTCTCTCTATCTAAGTAGATCTAAGTATAAGTTCTCACTCTTTCTTTCGGATAATCTATGCATGTTTAGATTTCTCTCTTTTTCTCTCGGATGAGACAAGTATAAGTAATTATTTGTTTCTCTCTCTTTTGGATGTTAGAACTATGTATATGTAGATTTTTCTCTTTATCTATCTCTCGGATGCTCTAAATACGTGTTCTCCCTCACTCTTTACCAATCTATAAATAATATAAATATAGAGCACCGACTGTTCATAATAGTTCGTAGAGCTTCATTCCAATTTCAATTTTCGCAGTTGGGGCTGCTGGGGCAGAGGGAGGTTTGCCTCTACTTGGGAGCTCGACATTGAGCGAGCTAATCGCTTACGGTTCGCCTTGAAAGTTTGCGCCTAAGGCGGATGCAGCGCATTTTTCTAAGTTTGCGATAAAAGTGCAGAAGGCCATGCGGACTCTGATAAATGCAGCTGTGGCTGACGGCGCTGGAGTCATTTAGCTGGCAACAGCTGCAGCTGCAGCTGCATTGGGCACATTCACGTATTCGCGCATTCCCGTATTCGCTGGCCACATGCAAGCGACTCTAACAATAACAAGCGCCATTGCAGCCAAGCTGGAGGCGGAGCCGATCAGGGACAACAGGCAGCTGCTGGAGTTTCAGGTGCGCAGTCGCGACATCGACTGGAAGCTCTATGTGCGGCCGCTGGACACGCAGGTGCGCGGGGAGGCTGTCTACCTGGACAGGCAGTCAGACTTGCTGAGCAACCATCGGCGCACGGTGAGCAGGAGCGGGCGGCGCGAGCTGCTCGTCTGCCACGACATGATGGGCAACTACTTGACGGATCGGTAAGTGTGCGCCAGCACTCGGAATACATATGTGACGGCAGCTGAGCCACCGGCTTTCCTTGCAGGCACTACCACAGCTCGCAGAAGTACGACGACTACCGCTTCATGCACTGGTCCGCCGTCGACTACTTCTGCTACTTCAGTCACAACTACGTGACCATTCCGCCGAGCGGCTGGCTGAACGCCGCCCATCGGCACGGCGTCCCCGTCCTGGGCACCTACATAGCTGAGGGCAGCACCGGCAGCAGGCTGCTCCACGAAGTCCTCGCCAGCGCCGAGAGCGTCCAGCGTGCGGCCACTGCCATGACGCGGCTCTGCCTCCACTTCGGCTTCGAGGGATGGCTGGTGAACGTCGAGTGCCAGGTGCGCCCCGAGGCAATGCCCAATCTCTAGTGAGTAACAGCAACTGAAACCAGAGTCCCTCAATCTTGTTCACCCAACACCCAATCCTACTCCGCAGCCTGTTTGTGGAGGAGCTGCGCCGCCTGACCGAGGCGCAGGTGCCGAGCGGACGCGTCTTCTGGTACGACAGCGTCGTCAGCAGCGGCGAGCTGCATTGGCAGAACGAGCTGAACGACCGCAACGTGCGCTTCTTCCGGGCCAGCCACGGCACCCTGATCAACTACTCGTGGGACGATCGCAGCCTGGCCAACAGCGAGGCGACCATTCAGCGCGAGGGGGCGCCGCCGCACCGCCTGTTCATGGGCCTGGACGTGTTTGGGCGCGGCCAGGTGGGGCGCTTCCGCAGCGCCCAGACCCTGGCCAGGATTGCGGCGCGCGGCTTCTCCGCGGGCA